TCAGATCTAGACCAATGTTCGCACGATTCCACGCGAGATTAAATCTTAAAGATTTGTTTTTGAAAAATTTCCAAATTATATATATATATAATAGATTCCTTTTTTTTTAATGTTCAAATGTATTTTTCCGATTTTTTGTTTTCTTGAAGCGTTATTATATTAGCATAAATAATAAATAATTTTTTTTCTGATTATAGTACGCAATGTTAATTTTGTTTTTTTTAATGCAGAATTTTCAATATATAAAGTATTATTATCTTTGCAAATGTTAGAAAGAAAAAAAAAGAATTTTCCTTTAGGTATATTATCGTTTGTTTGAATTAAACATATTATAAACTAACTATTAACTATTTGTTGTAAGTTGAACCCGCGTGACCCGCGTCATTATATATACGTGAATTGAGTTCAAGATTGCGGGTCATTATCACAATTTGTAAATATTAGTTCTTGAGCAATAATATGGGACAAAAATTCATTTTATTTTACCTTCAATATTTTATTTAAATTTAGAGAATTATATTTAAAAATTTATTTTTATTATAAAATTGTCTTGCACACATTGTCATTTTTAAATTACAAAGCGAATATAATTATATCAATGAAGCAAATCTCATTTGATATATTTATTTTCTTTATTATACGGGCGTTACAAGGTTTCGACTATTAAGACGAATTAACTTTGAATAAAGAAATAATAATGGAATCTAGGAGAAAGAATTTATAAAAGGAAAGAAGATTTGAAAGGCTATAAATCGATGTGATATAACTTATTCTTTTCAAGAGGCGATAAATATTTTCATTTATTATTCGCTATGAACGATTAAAGTTAAAACAATACGGAAAGTCCCGTTTGCGAATCTAATCGCACTTTTTTTTTTTTCATTTAGCAATTTGGTTTTTACATTCCATTGTCTTTTTTTTTTTATTAGTTCGTTCATATTAAAATAAATCAAAATTGTTATGAAAATAATCCAATAGAAAATAGAGTTAATAAAAAAATGAGTTGTTGGAAGGATTGATGTAAAACGATTCAGAGATTTTAGTAAAGATAATACAATACGAGAATAGTCGAGTGACAGATTTGGATCAAGAATGAGTTATTGCGAGAATAAAGCTAGAATAGACGTTTGAAAGCAGATGATTTAATGATTGTTGAATTCAATAATAGGAATATAGACCAACGTTGCATATATATATATATTGAGAAGGCGGAAAGGTCGTTTCTCTCCCCTCGGGTTTTTTTTTTTAAAAGATAATTGTTGCGAGGAAAATTGTCATATTCATGTTTCTTAAAAGCATCCATTTAAAAATTATATATATATATAATATATAAACGCGAAAAAGTTATATATCCTTTTTTTATTGCTAGCGAGTTATGTAATCACATTTTCCTTATAACTACATTGAACGCGTCAAGTGAAACATCAACTGTCGGATTTGTCATATATAAACATTAATCAAATTGAACGACAAAAAAAAAAAAAAAAAAATTCAGACTTATTCATCATAAATAATTCTTTAATATATTTTGCTTTCACTGTCATTCTAATGTCTGGTATATGTGCGATAATTTTTACTATATATATTGATTAAGTCAAATTTTCACAGAAAAAAAAACAAAAATTTCAGTATTATACCAGAATTGAATACTGGCGCAGTATTGGTTCAGTATTGGCTGCCGAGGCTGGGCAAATAGATTTTCTTTTTGATTAATACTAGTTTACACAAAAATTTCTAGAGTGAACCCGATGAATCTTTTTTGTTTAAATATTTTGTTTATAACAATTTTTTCACCTTGATTTTATTTTTCAAAAATTAAAATGTATTTTATTTTATACTTTTCTGTGGGTTAAATTATTTAAATAAAAATAGTTTCCTGAGACCAATTCCAATAACATTTTGCAAGTTTTCTTATTGTTTTCAGATATTCAATAAACCAAAAAAAAAAAAAATTTAAACGATAAAAATAAAAATTTTTTTAAAATTTTCTTGACAACACTTGTTAAAAATCAAAAAACCAACTTTTATTTTCTTAAAAAAGTGATTTCAAAAATTTATTTTAATGCAAATATATAGGTGAATAAAAATAGTTATTAAACTTTTGAAAAAAAAACTTAAAATTAAATATTATTACCCGAAAGTTTATAAACTTACAAAAAATTACGTATACTTTTTTTTCTCAAAACTTTGGTTTTATAATAAACATAATCTAATTTTGATTTTTTGATTTTTTAAAATAATAATTTGCAATATATATTATATGATAAAGAATAAAAATTCTTGGTGTTTTCGATTTTATATAATAAAATATTAATTAGTTAGTTGACTAATTTAATTATAATATTTAATTTGTGTTAGGTGACTAAAAATTTCAGATACTTTTTCCTACTCTCTAAATCTGAATTAGTAAAAATGTTTACTAATTTGAATTAGTGACTCACTTTTTGCTTCTGAATTAGTTAAATTTTACTAATAATTAGTTAAATTTGACTAATAATTAGTAAAATTTTACTAATTAAGTTCTAATTAGTTCTACTAGTTAAGTTCTACTAATTAAGACTAATTAAGTTAAAATGTTTAATAATAATTAGTAAAATTTTACTAATTTAGAAGCAAAAAGTGAGTCACTAATTTAAATTAGTAAACATTTTTACTAATTCAGATTTAGAGAGTAACTAAATTAGTTACTAAATTACTAAAAGTTACTAAATTAGTAAAATTTTACTAATTATTAGTAAAATTTAACTAATTCAGAAGCAATAAGTGAGTCACTAATTCAAATTAGTAAACATTTTGACTAATTCAGATTTAGAGAGTAACTTAATTTGTTCCTAAATTACTAAAAGTTACTAAATTAGTAAAATTTTACTAATTATTAGTAAAATTTAACTAATTCATAAGCAAGAAGTGAGTCACTAATTCAAATTAGTAAACATTTTTACTAATTCATATTTAGAGAGTAAGTATACCAATAAATTACAAAATTGCCAGTACTCGGCAAGTACTGAACCAGTAGTGGTTACCAGTACTGGTGCCAACTCTGGTAGCCAATACTGGTAAAATGTTATCATCCCAAAGTTACGCCAACTCTGGCGCCAATACTGGGTGCCAGTACTACGCCAGTAGTAAATTTTTGATTGGGATATTTTAGACGAATTTTTGATTTTTCGAATTAGAATTTGAAAGAATTTGATTTTTATAAACGAATTTTTACATAACAGAATTGCTTATATACACACAGAGAAAAGATAAACATTTATTTAAATTAAATAAAAAATTTCTTTGAAACGAATATTTTTTTTTTTTTTTTGAATCAAAGATAATTTGTTTGAAACAAATAAATTTTCTTTGTATCAAAGAAAAATTTGTCAAAGAAATTGTTTTTTTTTGAATCCAAAGAAATCTTTTTTCTATATATGAATGTATTGAATTTTTACTGTATACAAGAATTCTTAAAATGTCGAATTTTTATTTGTCCGAAATTGGAAATGTCCGAACAATAATGCAATTAACAGAAAGGAATTTGGCGCGATTTTTAAAATTGACCAATCGCGATTGTTTCTTGATAATTTATAATTGGTCAATTTTAAAAATCGCGCCAAAATCCCTTCTGTTTGCATTTGTTTGGCCATTTGCAATTTCGAACAAATATTCTGTTTTTTTTTTTAAGAATTTTGTACAATTAAAATTCAGTACATAAGAATTTTATTAAGTAAAAATTCATTTAAACAGGAAATTCGGCGGCAAATTCTAATTAGAAAAATCAAAAAAATATTTTTTATAAAATTCTTTAAAATTAAAATTCCAACTATAACGATTTTTATGGAATAATCATGGGCCCTACCCAGAGAATTCAATTGGCGTAAATAAAAATTCTATTTGTCATAAATAAAATTTTTATTTAAATCAAAAATATTTATTTGTCTCTAAAATTATATTTGTCTAATAATTAGTAAAATTTTACTAATTTAGAAGCAAAAATTGAGTCACTATATTCAAATTAGTAAATATTTTTACTACTTCAGATTTAGAGAGTAACTAAATTAGTTACTAAATCACTAAAAGTTACTAAATTACTAAAAGTTACTAAATTACTAAAAGTTACTAAATTAATAAAATTTTACTAATTATTAGTAAAATTTGACTAATTCAGAAGCAAAAAGTGAGTCACTAATTCAAATTAGTAAACATTTTTACTAATTCAGATTTAGAGAGTAAGTATACCAATAAATTACAAAACTGCCAGTACTCGGCCAGTACTGAACCAGTAGTGGTTAGCGGTACTGGTGCCAACTCTGGCAGCCAATACTGGTAAAATGTTATCATCCCAAAGTTACGCCAACTCTGATGGCGCCAATACTGGGTGCCAGTATTGCGCCAACACTTGTCAGTACTGCGCCAGTACTGCGCCATTAGTAAATTTTTGATTGGGTGAGCTCAAAATGAGTATTTGAAAAATGTATGTCACGTTGGCTCAAAAATGAGTTCTGATTTTTTTTTTTTTCTGTTATCGAAAAAATTGATTTTTCTCGTATATACAATTAAATTGTATATATGAGAATTGTGATTTAAAGGAAGAGAAGAATAAAAAATTGAAATGTAATTCAAGTGAAATAAAATTAAAAAAAAAAGAATTGACAACCTAGTATTACCATTACATTGAGAGTCTCTTCCCTTAAGAAACCTCACAATAAAGATAACAATGCTCTCTCTCTCTTATAAGAAACATCTGCCAAAGAGAAAAACACTTAAATGACCAACCCTTTAAAGGGATTAAAATTTAAAAATGTAAATAAAATTTGAAAAAAAAAATCTAAATATTCATCTCTTCCTTTCCCACACTCAACTATATATCATGATGATATAAAATGAAAATCCTGCCCTATTATTCACATTGACAAGCAGGTACCTCTTTTATCCGTTGAAACAACAGGTGTTTGATGAAAAGAATAAAACTATGTACTATTTAAAGAAAAATTTTTTTTTCAAAATAAACTCACCCTCGCCTCTTCTCCATCATCTCGACGTGCACCCTGGAAAAGAACGTTTCCCATTTGTACATGAAAATTTTGTTGTAGAAGCTGTGCCAATTGTGGATTTTGTGTTAATATTGATGGATTTTGTTGCAATAATTGTGCCAATGCTGGATTTTGTACTAAAATTTGACTTAATGGCGAATTATTAACACCTTGCTGTTGAATGCTAATTATTGGCGAATTTGCATTTTGTGTTTGTGATGATTGTGATGATGAATTTTGTCTCGGTGGACTTTGCGGTGTGTGCGGTGGTGTTGGTGGACTTCCGGGTGCCATCGATGATGCCTCTTTCTCCTCCTTGACCTTGACCTTGCCTGGAAAAAATAAAACGACAAGGTTAAATTCGTGAGCTCCCACAGGTGACTTTAAAAGAGAGAGAGAGGACGGCGACCACATGGCAAATTGCCATTGACTGGAAAGGCAAGATAAATGAGAATAGGGAGAATGGTCGACTCTTATTGTCGTGTTATTGCCCTTGTAAAGAGTTCCGAGTAACTCTTCTCCTTTTTTAAAAACAATCGGATCATGCAAAGCATGATGGGGGGAAGATCGAGAAACAGGAGAAATTATAGCAATAATGCATCTGCTCTGTCACGAATACATATATATATTCTTTACGAAGTGAGACTCATCTTTTCTCAGGACTCAATTCTTTAATTGCATGGGAAATTTTACATCACAATTGTATAGTTAAAAAGGATGCTTTATTTTTTATAGTCTTTAGGATATATATATGTAATTGTGCATTTTTTTTCTCCACCCTTGTCATGGGAAAAATATAATTATTGTTTTTCGATATATCATTAGGATTTTTTTTTTGAACTTGACACTTCTGTAACGGTTTTTCTCAAGAATTTTTTTTTTTTTAATATAAGAATCCTTTAAGGATCATTAATAACTATTGATAGCCAAATTCCTCGAATTATTATATGGCGACGAAATAATACATATGAGGAATTTTTCACGTGTCACTCAAATTCTTTGACAATAAGGTTTTTTTTTTTTTGTGCGTGGAGAATATACAATCGTTTATAAGAAAATATATTCATCTCAAGAGAGAGAGAGAGAGAAGGGATCAAGACGAGACTAAAACGTAAAAGATCAATATCTTTTATAAAGACGAGTAAAATTGCGATTTCATCGGAACATGATTCTTGGGAAGAGAAAAAAAAAAATCTTTGACGCTTTAGAAATGCATTGATGTTATATACCTGCATATGACGCTTCTTTGCAAAAATTCATAAGACACGAGGCATAATCATCGGGTGTGTATCGCTTTTATGTATTCCGCGTGTGCAATAAGTTCCTTCCTCAATGCATTCTTCACGAATATTCAATTCACCTCCCACACTCTCGGAAAGTTTTTTTTTTTTATTTAAATTATAATTCAACAAAATTATATATGTTTATTATTTAAAGTCTTCTTTATCAACAATTAATTTTATATATCAATTAAACAATTTTTTTTTAAAAATTAAAATTTTGTTTTTCATAACAATAGTAACAATTTTAATAAATACAATAATAACAATAGTTATAATAATAATTACAATACTAGTATATATATTAATAGTTGAAAATATCGAAAAATTTTAAAAAGGATTCAATTTCTTAGTGCGCGCATATTCACAATAAGCACATATTTATGTTATACACGCCAACATGTCGAAATCAACGTGACTAATCGAACCGTCGTGACCACTTGTTCCGACTTATTATTATTTTTTTTTTTTTTCTTTCGTTACTATTTCATTTACATCTCTAATTTGCAATTAGTCACACGTAAAGTTCCACTCACGAAATGCACACATTGTTCGCCAACAATCTTAAAAACGTTTAATGTATGTAGAATTTTTTTAAATTTTTTTTTATCGATTGTCACAATGAAATTTGTGCCCTCTTTTGTACAATACAATAAAAAATAATTGTAAAAAAAGAATAACTTTTTTTGCGGAAGAATTAACAATTTTTTTTCATATAATAAATTTACAAAATTATATATATACAATAGTAAACTTCTTCTTTCGATTCGAACTTAGAGACTGAATGAGAAGATATTTTTAAGATTTGAAAATTCATCTATGGGTGGGATTTATTATTTCTTATAGAAATCGTTTAGGACTTCCCATTCGTTTTTTCATTGGTGGAGAAGATTCGAAGTATTTTGGGTAGTGGAAAGAGAAAAAAAATCGGGGGGCTAAATATATATATATATATATATACGGGGGAAATAACGAGGAATATGGAAAAAAAACTCAAGTATTCGCACAATGGATGAGTTTTTTTTTTGGGGTAAATTCGTGAAATTGAGATGTTCTGATTTATAAAGTCCCGGTAATCGTTTACCAGCAGGTACATCTGCTCTATTAAATACGAAATTGCCCTCTTTTCGCTTCACGCCAGTTTTTTTTTTTTTTTTTTTTCTAGGGTATACACAAATACTTCACCTGACTTTACGAAGCAATTTCTTTCAATCAAAATTTGTGGGTGAAAAAAAAATATGAAGAAATTTATTTGATTCAAATATGTAATTGGTTACTTGACTCACAGAAAATTAAAAGGCATTAAAATAAGCTTATTATTTTAATCCAATTTTTCTTATTTTAATATTAAAATAAGCAAAATTGAATTAAAATAATAAGCATTGCAGCTTATTTTAATATACCTTATAATTTTCTGTGGCTATTATCAAGTAAATATTTATTTTTTTATCAAATAATTATTATTTGAGATGGTATATTTTTGTTTCAAATATATAAAAATTATTTGGTTCAATAATACTACAGTTTATTTAATTCAAATAAAACGTATTTGGTTCAATATTTATTTTAATAGAAAAGTAGAATCAAGTAACTTTTACTATCTACTTTAAAAGTAAAACCGCAGTTTCTGGCAAATTTTTAATTCAGATATAGTAAAATTTCTTATTTCCGAAATAATTTTTACTATTTCAGTATAGTAAATTTTACTATTTTCGAAGTAAATTTTACTATTTCTGGACCCACTTGGAAAGATTTCCCGGAAAGTGCCTCCTGGAGGTTCTATCAGAATTCCGTCGGAACATCCAACGTAATTCCGTCGGAATTACATCGGAGTTCCAAAGAATTTCCGATGGGATTCCGACGGGATTCCGATTAATTTTTTTCAAAATTTTTAGAGTTCTAATTCCGTCAGAATTTCGTCGTAATCCCATCGGAAATTCTTTGGAACTCCGATGGAATTCCGATAGAACCTCTATCAGAATTCCGCCGGAACTTCCAACGTAATTCCGTCGGAATTACATCGGAGTTCCAAAGAATTTCCGATGGGATTCCGACGGGATTCCGATTAATTTTTTTCAAAATTTTTAGAGTTCTAATTCCGTCAGAATTTCGTCGTAATCCCATCGGAAATTCTTTGGAACTCCGATGGAATTCCGATAGAACCTCTATCAGAATTCCGCCGGAACTTCCAACGTAATTCCGTCGGAATTACATCGGAGTTCCAAAGAATTTCCGATGGGATTCCGACGGGATTCCGATTAATTTTTTTCAAAATTTTTAGAGTTCTAATTCCGTCAGAATTTCGTCGTAATCCCATCGGAAATTCTTTGGAACTCCGATGGAATTCCGATAGAACCTCTATCAGAATTCCGCCGGAACTTCCAACGTAATTCCGTCGGAATTACATCGGAGTTCCAAAGAATTTCCGATGGGATTCCGACGGGATTCCGATTAATTTTTTTCAAAATTTTTAGAGTTCTAATTCCGTCAGAATTTCGTCGTAATCCCATCGGAAATTCTTTGGAACTCCGATGGAATTCCAATAGAACCTCTATCAGAATTCCGTCGGAACTTCCAACGTAATTCCGTCGGAATTACATCGGAGTTCCAAAGAATTTCCGATGGGATTCCGACGGGATTCCGATTAATTTTTTTCAAAATTTTTAGAGTTCTAATTCCGTCAGAATTTCGTCGTAATCCCATCGGAAATTCTTTGGAACTCCGATGGAATTCCGATAGAACCTCTATCAGAATTCCGCCGGAACTTCCAACCTAATTCCGTCGGAATTACATCGGAGTTCCAAAGAATTTCCGATGGGATTCCGACGGAATTCCGATTAATTTTTTTTCAAAATTTTTAGAGTCCTAATTCCGTCGGAATTCCGTCAGAATTTCGTCGGAATCCCATCGAAAATTCTTTGGAACTCCGATGGAATTCCGACGGAATTCCGATAGAACCTCCAGGGGGCAATTTCCGGGGAATCTTTCCAAGTGGGAAGTAAAAATTGCCAGAAGTGCGCAGAAACTTTTAAAGTATTAAGTAAAAAAGTTACTTTATTCGTTTTTCCATTTTTCTCCATGATAGTCAAGTAATCGATTATTTGAATCAAATAAATTTTTTTTTTTATTTTCAGTTAAAGAAAAAAAAAAGATAATAATGAAAATTTTTTAAAAGCATATTTCCCACAAGTTTCATGTTAAAAGCCACACCTAATTTTCTTGACGTCTGTTTACAGAAAAAAAAATTATATATATTTGAGCGAAGAAGATCCTATCCTAAAAGATCATAACTACATCTGAAAAGGTTCGGTTACGTCCGCGAACATCGCCCTTTTCACCCATCATGTTTCATGATAGAAACGATAAACCAACAACGGGATATATATATATATATTCGCAGGGTTCGTTAGGTTCAGAGGGTTAGCTACTCCTTTTTTAATGCTGGAATTTCAGGTAGAATACATACATATATATATATGAAATTTTCAAAGTGAGTATATATACGGAAGATGGACCATGTGAAAAACGTCAAGCTAGAATCGTTACCTGCCCAAAGGGATTCCTTTTGAATGCCCTGCGGGTGCGAGAGGAAGGCGAAAAAAAATGGAGGGAATAAAAAAAAAGAAGAAAAAAAAAAGAGATTCGACCGAAAAATCGGAAAGGGGAAAAACCTACAAGCAAAAGGGGAATTTCCGACCCCCACGATGGGGACAGATCAATGACGTTGCTCGATATTACGCAATCCCTTGCGCCATCCTTTTCCTTTATTCTATACTTTTTTTTCTCCTTCTTCTCTTTTATATCCTTTCTTCCACAACTCATATATCCCCTTGTCATTATTTTCGAAATCTGACGATCTTCAAAAAAATTTCTGCGGGCATCTGTTGCGGGAGTCATTTTTTTTCTCACCACCAAAAAAAAAATATATGACAAAAATCGTTTCAGTAGTACAAAATTTATGCATAATAGAAAAAAAAAAAAAAAAAAAAAATGAAGAAGATTTGAACCCATGACGTTTACAGTAATATTCAGTAATCTTACCAATTGAGCCA